AAAAAAAAAAAAAAAAAAGACATGATGTTGGGGTACATATATAATAATGAAACAGACATTAAAAGCATTCACCATAAAGAAAAGAAATGGTAAATCTGAGTTCATTAAAATAAATTTCTCAACAAAAACCCCCAAACAATAAATTTCTAGTTCATAAAAAAACATTAAGAGAATGCAAAGCAAACTACAGCATGGCAGAATTAACCTACAATAGATATATTCAAAGGACTCTTTTTTCTCTTTTTTTTATCCAAAGTACTCTTAATCAGAGTAGGTGACAAAATAGGAAAATGAGCAAATGACTCAGAAAGGTAACTCACCAAAGTGAATCTCCAAATGGCCCATAAACATATGTAAAAGGTACCTGACTTAGTCATCAGAAAATATTGATAAATTCAACAACATTAAAATGAGGTACTTCTATCCAGCAGAAGACAACATTAAGACAAGCCACAAACTGCAAAGATACCTGCGACACATAAGCAAAAAGCAGCACTATCTAGAAGAACACTGAAAAAATTACGAATAAGAAAAAGACAAATCAACTGAAAAGTTGTGGGCAAAAAACCTAAAGCAGCATTTCACACAGAAAACATGAAAGCTGACTAAAGACATGAAAACACACTCAACCTTTTTAACATTAGGGAAATACAAATGCAATACTACGTCTCATTACTACCAGGCTGGCAAAAATGTGAAGCAATAGTAATTCTGATACACTGCTGGTAGTAGGAGTACAAAGACTACCTTGGAGGCATTAGCATCTGTCTTTCTCGTCCGCTTCATAATTTCCTCAATTCTCTATTTGAAGGAAAATAAAAATTCAAACAGGAAAACAGATTAAAAACCAAACAGTGGTCCTGAAAGAGTTATCTTCATTTCACAGAGGTGGACAATGGCAGAATTGCTCCAAAATCATAGGCTTAACCAACAAAAGGCTTGGGGTGGCAGCTGGGTTCCCGTTTCCAAACCTGGTATCAACTACAGAATGTCTTGAATGGTGACAGTGGTACTTGTGTACTTGTTATCAAAACACAATCATCCAAATGATAATATCCCACTCCTAATTTTGTACATATGGAAATTCATCACTTAGACTAAGCACACATTACTACAAACCAGTTAGAGCTTACAATAAGATTTTAATTTAGTTTTAACAGACCATTTCTGAAGCCAATGTTAATGAAAATAATACACCTCAATGATATCACACTATTAAGAGATTTTTTAACTAAAGAGAGAAGACAGGAGGCAGAGAAGGAATGTGTTCTAGGGAGGGATAATTCTCTCCCCTGCATACATTTCTTTCCCTGGAGGTGAAGAGAGCTTCAGCTCCCTGGCTGCCTCACTGTGACCAATCTACTAAGACTCTATTAACAGAGGCCCTGGGGCTTCCAGATGAGCTTCCTCCCATGTGTCCCTACCTTACAAACGGCCTGCACTTTGGCCTCTCAGAGAGGCCTGTACTCTGCCTCTTTCTATGCAGTTGTTGCAATTTCCATCACAGTTTCAAAGAAACTCTAACTTCCAGCAAATCTCACCATGATAGGAATAATTCTGTTCAAAGAATTTGTTTTTAGAGGTTTGATGCATTAATGCATTGCTATAATGACCACCAATAGTCCACAAGGAAGAGGTACGTATGGGTCACTAAGAAGAAAGCCTTTATATAGGAGAGGTCAGATCCTTGGATAAGAAGAGAGTATACTGGGAAAACACGCAGGAGTTAGTTAGCATGTACCTAATTTGTGACTTTCAAAATTATGTCCTTATCATACACCCAACATTGTTTTAAACAAAGAATCAACTCCCCCAAAAAGACAGCAAGTACCTTTTTTCTTTCTAATCTTTCATGTAAATTTTGTAACATAATTCTCTCATGTTCTTTCTTGCGTTTGTCCACTTCCTCTTGAGCCTTTATTTTGTTGTTCCCTTTCTAGAAAATTTGTATAAAAATATTATTAAATCTCAATGTATCTGAGTTACACCAGAGAACTAGTTTTAAACTTAAATGGTAAAATGTTATCTAGCATAACAAAAGGTAACTTTTTGACTGAGGGTTCCATATATATATATGTATTATACACATGACATTGATGGACTACTAGTTTTCAAAGCCCTAGTTAGAAAGCACAAAACTAGGCTAAATGTTATCTTAAGGATTCAAGACCTCAGGTATCATCATGAACATCAGGCCACCTTACTTTAAAAGTATATTGTGGAACTTTACCATAGGAGTTTTATTTCTCTCAAGTACTCAGATGATTCTTAAAGGTAGCTTCCTGAGGAATTCAAGTGAATACAATCATTTATGGACCTGTAACCAATTCTGATGAATGATGGACTAAATGTAGGAATATAAATTGGACTATAGTAATAATTCAAATTGATTATATAGCCTGAGCTCAGTTTGGGGATTTATTTACCTGGTGATTTAAATTTAGATGAGCCAGACATTCTTTTTTGTTAATTTAATGATTTGAAACTTTTAGTGGTATTCATAATGTTTTATCTTATCTGTCAGTAGTGTGTAGGGTGAGCTATGAGTACTGTGTATAGCATCACAGAATATAAGATGGGGAAAACCGCCCTGTGATGTTTAATTTGTGGAAGCAATTTGTATTTCAAACTAAAGAACTACTAAACTACAATTTGCTGCCTTCTACTTGTTTCACTTGAAAAACATTCTGGGATCTTCTCAGGGTGGCTGAAAATGACCTGCAGTATGGGACATGGGGTAACAAGGAGATTGTAATATAAAACTGTAGCCAGAGAATGCTACATCTGCCCATCTCCTTTCTCAGAGACACAGATTTTTGCTTTGAGTTCCAACTGAATTTTATAATCTAGTTCTCATCCCAGATTAGAAAGCATTAAGCCAGCAAACCTGCAGTAGTCCTTCTTGGTCTTCTTGATCCTGACATCCTTTCTTCTGTTTTGTATCCTTTTGTTGCTGCTCATCTTTGAGTTTTGATAACTCTTCTGCTTGCCCTTCAACTATTTCCTCTGCCACATCTCTTATTTCCCTAATGACAGAGTATTTAAATAACTTAGTACTTATTTTGCTTGTTGCCATATTCAGCTTGCAATATTGACTTTTCATAATGAAACTGCTTGTGTAAATATATTTACACCAGATTCAGTACATTTTCTGTGTTGTTATTACGCATGATTTACATAATTCTACCCTTTTTAAATTGAAGAAACTAACTATCAAGTAGTGGACTAGTCTGCATTTAAAAAAACACACTGTGCCAGGTGTGGTGGCATGGTAGCTCACGCCTATAATCCTAGCACTCTGGGAGGCCAAGGCAGGTGGACTACCTGAGCTCACAGTTTCCAGACCAGTCTTGAGCCTGAGTGAGAACTCATTTCTAAAAATAGCCGGGCATTGTGGCAGGTGCCTATAGTCCCAGCTACTTGGGAAGCTGAAGCAAGAGGAGCACTTGAGCCCAAGACTTTGAGGTTGGTATGAGCTATGATGCCGTGGCACTCTACCAAGGGCAACAAAGTGAGACTCTGTCTCAATAAAACAACAACAACAAAAAAAAACCACACATGCACAAATATAAGAGAAATAATCGTTCCTTAACTGTTTAAGGTCTTATTTACATGTGCTCATACTCAATCTTGTGTGGGGGTTATAGGAGTACTTTAGAGCGTCTGGTGTTGCACCAGTATTTACTACATTCAAATGCTAAATTAGCTCTGTTTTATAAAGTGGCTCAAGTGGCTAAGGCGCCAGCCACATACACCTAAAGTGGCGGGTTCAAATCCAGCCCAGGCCTGCCAAACAACAATGATGGCTGCAACCAAAAAATTGCCAGGCGTTGTGGCGGGCGCCTATGGTCCCAGCTACTTGGGAGGCGGAGGCAGGAGACTCGCTTGAGCCCAGGAGTTGGAGGTTGCTGTGAGCTGTGATGCCATGGCACTCTACCCAGGGGGACAGCTTGAGGCTCTGTCTCAAAAAAAAAAAAAAAGCAATGAATAATATTCTTTAAGTTATAGTTTTTTGCTATTCACAATGTTCTCATGTCCTTTCTCCCAAACTCATATCCAAAAATGTCTGACTTCAAGTATATGGACAGTATATGATTGTATTTCAGAGAACACTTAATACTTAAAAGCAAAATCAGTACTGCTATTATTCCTTGCAGCCAGTGGACGGAAATTTACATTACAGGGCCCAACATAAAACAGGCCTCAAGATGGAGCAAGAAAACTTTTGCTTCAATTTGCATGTGAGACTTGCTGCCCACAGGAAATCCTTCCACCTAAGGCCCGCTGGCCTGATGAGACTCAATGATCACTGGAAAGCACCCAAAGTAAAACATGAATAAATGTAATTTCCAGGTTTACAAATTCTGAAGTTACATGCCTTTTAAAATAAAGTGACTGACACACAAATGTTCTTGTGTGATTACTCTTGTGCTACAACTAAGAGACCAAACCCTGGACATGAATTCGATATTTATGCATTATTTGTGCCACCACCTTAATGGCATGTGATGTATGGAGACCACTGTTCCACATACCATGGTCCTCTCTGCTCAGCCATTTACAAGGGCATGAAATGCTTCCTATACTTTTACTTTTTTCGAAGGCAATGAGAAATTTCTGATCTTCACTTAAGAAAGTCAGTAGCTCTTTGAGAATTTAACGAGGGTAAGTTTGACTTTCAAAATTTGGGCCCCAACCAAGATTTTGGTAAAGGAAAGATGACTTTGTGCTGACCTTGACTCCATTTCTTGCCGGAGTCTTTCTTCTTCCTCTTTTTCTCTTTGTTCCCGAATAAGGCGGCGTCTTTCTGCCAAAATTTTTGTTGCTTCTTCAGCATTCATAGTCTCTAGTGTGCTTTTCTTACCAGACTCTGGTTTAAATAAACATGTGCAAAAATTAGTTTAGGGAACTTACTGTCCCTAGGTTCAACAAAGAAGTGTAATGCAATCCAAAACAATTAAAAACCAAACAATACATGCGTAGTCCAAAATTTATACAGCATACACAAACTATATGTAACACATTTTGTTCAAATTGCCTCCATAACAATAGAAGCAGCATTTTGTTTCCTTTTAACAACTACTGTTCCAAAATTAAACAATGTACTTCTCCTTTGGTTTTAGCTGTTTTGAGATAATAGCATCAATTGACCCCATGGTAATAGAGTAAGGAATACTAAATATAGAGGAAGGCAAGATTATGCTTAGTCCCAATGAAGGGTACAAGTATCTTAAATACTCAACTAAACAAAAATACATCTAGCATATATTTTGACATTTGTGCATAATTTTAACTATGTAATTTCTGCTTAGCTAAACTGTGACAGAAGTATATGTATGCATATTTAGTTGGTTATAAAGTGGTTAACTAGATAACAAAAAACCCAAGATTATGAATAAAATAAAATGACTATGTGGAGGTACATTGTAATATTTTAGTTTGTTACTTATTTTGAACAAATCACATATGAAAATCAAAATTTTAAGATGTATCAGGAATGAATAATTTATAATAAAAAGGTGGTTTCTATTATGTGGAATTCCTTAAAAAAGCAGTGTCCATGGGCTGGGCAAGGTGGCTCATGCCTATAATCCCAGCACTGTAGGAGGCCAAGGCAGGTGGATCATCTGAGTTCAGAAGTTTGAGACCAGCCTGAGCAAGAGCAAGACCCCATCTCTACTAAAAATGAAAAAACTGAGGCAAGAAGACTGCTTGAGCCCAAGAGTTTGAGGTTGCTGTGAGCTATGACACCATGGTACTCTATCAAGGACAAAGTAAGACTTTGTCTCAAAAAAAAAAAAAACCAAATAAACAAACAAAAAAAAAAAAAAAAAACCCAATGTCCATGGATATTAAGAATGTGAAACATAACAAAGAAAAGAAGGCAAAATGACAATATGGCACTTTTAGGAATACTATACAAATCGAGGCATACCACTTTACAGCATGCAAACAAACCTAAACCTCCTGAAGAAAATCTGCTATTCCATAAATTGTTTGGTATGCTTTCTCCAAGAACTACCCAGGATCAGAGGAGACTGCAGGAAAGACCTAGACTAACCCTCTCATCCAATGTACTTTTAACAGTGGTTTCAAAAATGGATTTTCCAAAGCAAAGGGGTAGGGGAAGAAGGTCTTGCAAGGACAAGCAAACAGAAGAAACAGTCCTATGTACCAATGGTTGGTGAAATTCTCTATCTAAAAGAAAGATCACTCTCAATTGAGGAATAAAATAAAGTTGATCATTCCCAAATTACCTTAAGATTGTCAGTGTTGCTCAAATAAACTTTTTTTTCTTGAGACAGTTTTACTTTGTCACTTCTGGTAAGTGCCGTGGTGTCACAGCTTACAGCAACTTCAAAACTCCTGGGGCTCAAGTGATCCTATTGCCTCAGCCTCCCGAGTAGCTGGGACTAGCATCCGCCATGCCTGGCTATTTTTTAGAGATGGAGTCTTGCTCTAGCTCAGGTTGGTCTTGAATTTGTGAGCGATCTGCCCACCTCAGACTCCCAGAATGCTGGGATTACAGGCATGAGCCACCACACCCGGTCTAAAGTAAACTTCTTAATGAAAGAACTTACCTTCATAGATCACATGTTTTTGGCCTGAAGCCTCACATTTGTTAGCAGATTTAGAAACTGTTTCTCTCTTTTTTCTGACAGTACCCAATGTATTTTGTGCAACTGGTGTATGCTGAACAGGTCTTACGCTTTGGAAAAGAGAAGCTGGTAATGATTGTTTTGAAATAACTACTGAAGGTGACGGAGGGCGGTTCCTTCGGATTTGCCTGGGGAGAAAAAGTAATACACATATGCTAATTAATTTTTAGTGTACAATCTCATGAAACATGTCTTGATATTATGAGATAATGGTATTACAATCTGAGATTTTTTTCTAAAAAGTAAACCCATTTCTAAATGTTTTTTTTCCCCTCTTTTCATTTATGTTACATACTGTATTATTTCATTCATAAAACACTGACATGGAACTTATCCTGTATAATGCCCATCAGAACAATGCGAATAAGCTACTTACGTAGTGCACACAGGAAAAGGTGGATGCCACCTGCTCATAAGAGATGGTGACCATTTGTTAGTTGGCATGTGTGACGATACAGGCTTCTTGGTAATAGGGCTTGAGGTCTGTTTGTCCATTTCTGATTTCTTAACAGATCAATGCAATAAGATAAAGATTACTTTTACAGCAGCTGGCTTTTCTTTTTAAGAGAAAAACACTGAATAAAATATAATTATAGTTCTTTAAATCCTAATTTTCTTTTAGTGTATGAGACTTAGGTACAGAAGATATTTTATTCCACACTAATAATTCATATTACACAATTCAAGTAGGTTGCAGAAATAACTAATTTAAAAGAATTTTTTACTTTAAAACCTAACTCCATTTCTAAATCCTAATTAAGGGTTTAGAACATGTTCAAAATTTTTTTTCTTCAGGCTCAGCGCCTGTAGGTCAGTGACTAGGGCACCAGCCACATACACCAGAGATGGTGAGTTCAAATCCAACCTGGGCCTGCCAAACAACTACAACCAAAAGTAGCCCAGAGTTGTGGTGGGTGCCTATAGTCCCAGCTACTTGGGAGGCTGAGGCAAGAGAATCGCTTAAGTCCAAGAGTTGGAGATTGCTGTGAGCTGTGATGCCATGGCACTGTACCCAGGGTGACATAGTGAGACTCTGTCTCAAAAAAAAAATAAATAAATAAAATTTTTTTTTCTTCAAGAAACTTAATTCACCTACACATACATTTTCTCCCTTTTACGAAAAACTAATCCAGCTGTGGGAGGAAAGTGGTATAATAAACATCATACAATATTAAATTCTTAGTTTAAGTTAGTTATCCTATTAACTTTATAACAGAATATTATAAATAAGAAGTTGGTTATGTTGTAAAATCTGACCTATCATGATCTATACAACAAAATATACATATTTTAATAGTTTACATTTTAAAAGGAAATTTGTCAATAAAAGGCACTTGACAAACCTGCAGAGAATCTTTCACTTTCACCTTGGAAGATGCTTCTGTGCTCATCTCAGGGGATGCTTCCACTGCCACCTCAGGGTTGGCTTCTACCGTCACCTCAGGGTTCATCACCTCAGGCTTCGCTTCTACTGTCACCTCAGGGTTTGTCACCTTGGGGTTCACCACCTCAGGGTTTGCTTCTACTGTCACCTCAGGGTTCACTTCTACGGTCACCTCAGGCAATGCTTCTAAGCTCTCTTCAATGGGTGCTTCCAGGCTTGGCTCGGGAGATATATCCACACTTACTTCTGGGGATGTGTCTGTGCTCAGCTCCAAGGACTCATCTGTACTCACCACAGGGGACACATTCACACTCTCCACAAGGGATGAGTCCTCGCTGCCCTCAGGGGAGGAGTACCCACTTGCCTGGGGGGACACTTCTATTCTCGCCTTCAGGGAAAAGTCCATGTTCACCTCCGGAGGTGCTTCCACTCTTGCCTTGGGGAACTCTTCCAGGCTCGCCTTGAGGGGTACTTCCACGCTAGCTTCAGAAGATGTTTTCATACATGCCTTGGAGGGTGCTTCCATGCTTGCCCTGGGTAATGCTTCTGCATTCACCCTGGGGGGCACTTCCACACTTGCCTCAGGAGTTGTCTCTACTCGCCTCTGAGGAGCCGTTTCTAATTTTGTTTGAAGAGGCATTTTCACTTTTGACTTGGAAAATATGACCGTAGTCTTCAATTCATCACTATTATAGGTACACATGGGCACATTCACATACCGGAATGGATTACTATTGACAGCTGTAAGTGAATAAGGAAAGAGAGTAAAATTCCATAGGTAAGATAAAGACACACCATGTATACAATATAAGAGACTGTTTATTTGGAAAGTATAGGGATTAAACACAACACAAGAAATATTTAGTGAAATGGGTCACGGACACGGGATAGAATTACCACAAAGTTAGTACTTTAGAAGCAACATCAACAATAAAGTTGTTATGATAATAATAGTCCACTATAGATAAAATAAGATGCTTCTCCAGAGCTGATGTTTGCAATTTCTATTTTAATCATATGATATTTCAGAATGATTTTCACAGAAAATTACAAGATCTTCAATGCTTTTCAAAAGTAATCTAAAACATCTTTATCACGGCTAGAGATCTTACCATTATAGGCAACTGTGGAAGAAACTGTGTACTTTATTGTTTTAGAACAGAATTTAAGAAAGAATACTTTCTCACCTATACTAAAAACCAAATAAGATATTAACTAGAGTAGATTAGATCTCCAAGGTACCTTCCAGCTTTAACAGTCTAAATATATTTTGCATACAAAATGGACAAAAATGATGATACTTTGGTGTCTGCTAAGATGGAGGAAAATGATAACACTAATGTTTGGAACAAGGCAACCTCATACACTGCTGGTAGAAGTATAAATTTGTATATTCTCCCTGGGAAGCATGAAAAGTACATACTCTTTGTTCTAGCGATCCCATTTCTAGGCTTATCCTTAGGAAAATAATCAGATAAATACATAAAAATATATGTACAAAGTTGCTAATTATTACATTGCTTATAATATTAAAATAATTGGAAATATAACCCAAATATTCCATAGGACTTTTGGACTATGTGAAGGTAGTCAGTAAGAGTAATAATATGCAGGTGTTGGACATAGAAAATGGTTTTACTGACTTTAAATAAAAACAGGTTATCTCATTTTGTGAAAAAATATGTAAGTGCAAAGAAAAATATTAAGTTACCAGTAAGTATTAGGATAATACAGGATTAGATTTAAAAAATTATTCTACACTATTTGTTCTTTATATAGTAAGGTAAATATTTTTAAAAAAGGTTATCTAGTGGTGGCTTTCTTAAGAATTGGCAAACTTATCTGCTACCTCATCTTTAAACATGGTTGACAATTTTTCACATGATCTCATGAAATAATTAAAAGAGAACAAATTAATGAAGATTACTTGTGAATGAAACTTTTAACTAAATTAAATGTTATCTTTCAGTTCTTCGTTTTTGGTGGAAAAAGCATTTTACCTATATATCTGAATGTGCCTAAACACATTAACAGAAAATATATTAGGTATAGTAACTAGATTAGCTATAGAAATTTAAGGTAAAATACTAAATTTTTTGGATGGTGGCAATAGAAATATCTTACCATAGATTAGGGGAAGGGAGACTAGCAGGAAATAGCCTGACATACATATAAGCGGGCATAAAAAAAAGCCAGGAATTAGAACCAAAAAAGAAGTTAAGGTCACACTACAAGAAAAGCTATAATAAAATTTGGTTCATTTTACCAAACAGATGAATACTGACAGAAAAGCAAAGCAAAGGGGGTGGGATATATCCTGGGAAAGAAAAAGGAAGATTAAAAAGGGAAAAGAGTGATAGGAAAAATGCATTCTAGCTTTCCATCATGGGGCAGGGGGTTCGTGCTACCCACAGGCATGTCTAACACTACATGTGAACTATAAATGAGAATGTCCACATAACCCTAAGTATTTGCTTTATTTTACTAACAACCTTTATGCCCCTAATCAAAAACTGCAAAGTGGCTCAACGTTTTTCCTCCATATTTTAGGATAAAAGGAGGGTGGAGTAGGCAACTTTCTTAATTTTAGCAAAGTTTTTCTGTACATTAAAAATCTAGAGCTGGGCAGCACCTGTGGCTCAAGGAGTAGGGTGCCGGCCCCATATACCAGGGGTTGCAGGTTGAAGCCCGGCCCAGGCCAAAATTGGAAAAAAAAAAAAATCTATAGAGCTTTAAAATTTAGTAATTGCCACCAAAGTTAGTTACCCTACAAATTGCTCATTACCCAGGTAACTACTCCACCATACTAGAAAATAAAATAAAATAAATAAAAAAATAAATAAAATAAAATAAAATAAATATGCAACATCAAATATTTGGTAAAATCACTAATTTGATAACTATTGATTCAAATTTATTTGATGTCTAAATGCAACAAATCAAGTAATAGAGCCTACTTCTAAGTACAAGCACTAACACTATCTTCAGGCTTTCCACCATATGTCTGTTACCTGGAATATTTTTTCCAGGGACGGATAATGAAGCAGCACTTTTGCTTCTGGCTAATGATGCTTTTGTTGGGATGAGCAGCCGACTGATTAAATTATTCTCTTGAGAACCGAAATACAGGCGATGAGCTAAATGATGAGAATAAATCAAAAATGATTCAATCTGGGGGTCTCACAAACAAATGCAAAGCAAGAAAGAGCAATGAAAGCTACTTTAAATAGTAACTTTCCCAGAAACACATAACACAACAGGACTGAGCACTGTCACGAGACAAAACTACCAAACTACCCTGTCAGGGAAGAGAACACTTGAATAAAGGAAGGAATTTAAGTAACATATTTAACAGAACCATTCCCACCATATGTGCAGTCTCTATGGAGGAAATCACATGTAGAGGAAAAAGGTTACATAGAACAAAACAACTTTTACAGGAATTCCTATGGATATCTGCTACAGACAATTGTAACAGTCAAGACCATTGCCAAAAGTACCAAAGGACTGACAAAACTCTTGTTAAAAGTGAATTTTGTTGTAAATATCTTGCTCCAATAAATCTTTACATTCATGAAGATCCCTATGGTTAGTGACATTTGTTCTAAATAGGATTTGACCTGAATGAATGAAGTGGAGAATCTTCCAAAAGTGAACGGTTCACTATGAAACAAAAAGCAAAAAATACACATGAAAGGAAAATGTTAAGAAAAGGTATTAAAAAGAAACTATTTTACATAAAGAAGTACTTTAGTAATAATTATGAAGTTTTGTGTGCAATAATTAGCAGTGAAAACATGCACAAAAGATGTATGTGGATAACATGATGGAGCAACAGAGCAAAGCTTTGAAGTTCAAAGTATCTAATTCATAATTACTAAAGGGAAAATGATGAAATGCTGGGAGTAAATTAAGTCCTCTTGTGCAAACCTATCTATACCAATATTCTGTTATTTATCTCTGCAGCTTCATTACTGACTCCTTTGTTAGATGATGGCAGGAATTATACTTCGTTTAAAGACAGATGTTTCTGGCTTCAGCCATAAGAGCATGGCACCAAAGCATATCTTTTCATTTTACAAGGAATATTTTGGCTTCTAATTTTATGAAAGACTTTTCAAACAACTCAATGTTGACATATACATACCTCTTTTAAACGCCTATTTAAGATTTGTACATAGAATAACTACCTGGTTTTCCTTCCACTTGTTCTGTATCAGTAGATGAATGCAGTTTGCTGTCTCTCCTATTTAAAGATGAGCTTCTCTTCTTTTCCACTTTTCCTGGAGATCAAGTAGAAAGGAGTATTACTGTTTACAAACTACAGGAGTAAGCCACTCCTTTTAAAAATGTTTTTCATGTTCTCTACCTTTGTTTGTGAGAATGTATTTAATTTCTAATATTATACAGTTTTCATATCACCAAACTTAAAACTAGTTTACTCTTTAAGTTATCTAAAATGAAATAAAACTATTTAGAAAATGGTTAAAATTAAGAGGAAAAATGTCTTGTTATATTGTATATTCAACATCAAAGTTCCCAAATTAGGAATATACAGTATAACATTTAATTTTAGATACTATGTCTAATAATAAAAATAATTAATACTTTAGTTACAACTAGTATTTTTTGAAAGAAAAATGAATATTAACATTTGGTATAGATGTCACAATTTATGCAATTCATAAAGAAAAATAAGCTTTACATAAACACTTTTCCATATCACTTGAAATTATCTACCTCAGAACAGTGAGGAATGTCCATTTAAAAAATAATTTCAGAGGCGGTGCCTGTAGCTCAGTGGGTAGGGTGCCAGCCACATCCACCGAGGCTGGCGGATTCAAACCTGGCCTGGGCCAGCTAAAACAACAATGACAACTGCAACAAGAACAAAAAATAGGCAGGCATTGTGGTGGGCACCTGTAGTCACAGCTACCTGGGAGGCTGAGGCAAAAGAATCGCTTAAGCCCAAGAGTTTGAGGTTGCTGTGAGCTGTGACACCATGGCACTCTACCCAGGGCAACAGGTTGAGAATCTGTCTCAAAATAAATAAATAAATAAAAATAAAAGAAAAATAATTTCAGAGCCTGGGCGTGGTAGCTCACTGCTACAGTTCTAGCACTCTGGGAGGCCAAGGCCGGTGATTGCTTAGGCTTAGGAGTTCCAGACCAGCCTGAGCCAGAACAAGACCTTGTCTCTAAAAAAATAGCCAGGCATTGTGGCAGGCACCTGTAGTCCTGGCTACTCAAGAGACTGAAGCAAGAGGATCACTTGAGCCCAAGAGTTTGAGGTTGCTATGAGCTACAATGCTACGGCACTCTACCAAGGGTGACAGAGTGAGACTCTGTCTAAAAATACAAAAATAATAAATAAATAATTTCTCTTTTGGTGATTTGTAAGTTAAAGTACACACTGACAATAAAGCATCATTTGAGAATTCTTTGAATTGATAATGTGATTAAGCAGCATGAACCAGAGATGGAATCAATTCAATCATGTGATTAAGGCAGTATCCTTCATTAGCATACTGTAACAGATGACAAAATGGGGTGAACAATTACTGTGAATCAGCAATGAGTAGAAGAAAAATAGACAATTTGAATCAACCACAATTTAAAAGTTATTTAAAATATTAAAGGTTAGATTATGAACTTCATTTGAATTTGCTATGTTGATCTCTCTGGATTGAACAGGTTTCATTTCAATTTAAAGGGAGTGTGCAAAGGTAAGACATGCCAATATGAATTTTATTTTCCCTGGAATCATTCGTTACAGAATTCATCACTTCAGAGTATGCAACATACTATACCTTCAGGCAAGTTATTTCACAAAGTATTGTCCACATACCTTCTTGTATTAAAAACTGGTAAAGAAATCATTTAAAAAGTTATTTGTAATTGCTCCTTTATAGTACAATTTAACTAATTATTTTACCTTGAAAGTCATCATCTGCCTTTTCTCTTTATACGTCTCATTGATGTGGCAAATAGACATATTAATGAAAGCATACTATTTCCATTACTTTACATATATAACATCTGTAGAATAAATCTTTGCTAATTCTTCTGAGCAATTAGATAATAAAACAGTCAATGCTTGTGGAACAATTAAGATATCTTAAAATGTAAACATATACACATGGGACTACAATTAATACTATCTAATTTTACCACATGACCAACAAGGTGCTGGAGAAAATCTTCCCACATTAATCTATGAATGAACCCAGGATAAATGTAAAGTGCATTTGGGAAAGCAGACTGAGGGTAAAGATGTCAAGTGGATCAACCTTTCTTAGACCATTACAAGAGAAAACGTGACACATTCAGACTGATAACAAAATAAGACCTCTCCAGCTCATCACTGAAATTCTAAGAGTCCTAAAAATAGAAAAAAGCCAGGGCAAGGGGGGGGGCACCTGTGACTCAAAGAGGGCGCCAGCCCCATATGCCGGAGGTGGCGGGTTCAAACCCAGCCCTGGCCAAAAACTGCAAAAAAAAAAAAAACACCAGGCATGGTGGCTCATGCCTATATGTAATTCTAGCACTCTGGGAGGATGAGGCAGGTTGACTGCCTGAACTTACAGGTTCCAGACCAGCCTGAGCAAGAGCAAGACCCCACCTCTAAAAATAGCTGGGTGTTGGGGCAGGTGCCTATAGTCCCAACTTCTTAGGAGGCTGAGGCAAGAGAACTGCTTGAGCCCAAGAGTCTGAGGTTGCTATGAGCTATGATGCCACGGTACTCTCCTAAGCGGGACAAAGTGAGACTCTTGTCTCAAAAATCATAAAATAAAAGCACAAATTTGAACAAAAATCTTTTTCAGCATATTAAAACTATAATACTGCTTTAGACAAAAATCAAAATCCTTTCAAAGAGGTTAAACACTCTTGCGATCAGTTATGCTGTAAATGGTATCCAAAGTCTTTTACTACACTGGAGTTTTACAGTAATCAGCACCGCTCAAAAATGTCAAGGCACCTAAATAATGCCCCCCCCCATAAAAACCATTTTAAAATTCAAACTACAGGCTGGGCATTGTGGCTCATACCTGTAATCCTAGCACTCTGGGAGGCCGAGACAGGTGGACTACTGGAGGTCTGGTTTTTGAGACCAGTCTGAGCAAGATCAAGACCACATCTCTTAAAAACTAGCCAAGGGGCTCAGCACCTGTGCCTCAAGTGGCTAAGGCGCCAGCCACATACACCTAAGGTGGCGGGTTCAAATCCAGCCTGGGCCCACCAAACAACAATGATGGCTGCAACCAAAAAAATAGCCAGGCATTGTGGCGGGCAACTGTGGTCTCAGCTACTTGGGAGGCTGAGGCAGGAGACTCTCTTGAGCCCAGGAGTTGGAGGTTTCTGTGAGCTGTGATGTCACAGCATTTTACCTAGGGAGACAGCTGGAGGCTCTGTCTCAAAAAAAATAAAATAAAAACTAGCCAAGTGATGTGGCAGGCACCCGTAGTCCCAGCAACTCAGGCGTCTGACACAAGAGGATCACACACACACTTGGGCCCAGGAGTTGAAAGTTGCTGTAAGGTATGATGCCGCAGCACTCAACCAAGGGCAATATCATAAGACTCTGTCTCAAAAAAAGAAGTCAAACTAAAATTATGCCTTTTTCAATTTACAAGGCACAAAAGCAGCGTTTCTTCATCTTTTTTACTAAGTTTCAGGGAATGATGTGAAATTTGTTTGCCTATTTTTTCCTCTTAAAAAGAATTTTTTTTTGATTGATGGGTGCCTAATCCATTTGATTGATGGTGCCTAATCCATTTCAATTATTTCTAAGAAGCAACACATGCTGTAAGCCAGAAATTGTCACAGATGCACATGCAGGTATAGATTTTCTTTTTAATAAGGCACATTAACTGAAAAGCAAATAAATAGCTCAATGTTGTGTTGGGTGCCTGTAGTCCCAGCTACTTGGGAGGCTGAGGCAAGAGAATAGCTTGAGCCCAAGAGTCTGAGGTTGTTGTAAGCTATGATACCATAGCACTCTACTAGGGGCGACAAAGTGCGATCATGTCTCAAAAAAAAAAAAAAAAAAGAAAAGAAAAAAAATGAAAAGAAAAGCAAACCCCAAGAACAAAAAGGTATTTGAAGTATCCATAGCAGATAACTGTGTCTTATTTAGGATAACAGCATGTTGCCACGATGAAAAGCTGTAAAGTAGAGCTTGGAGGCTGGGTGCAGTGGCTCACACCTGTAATCCTGGGAGGCTGAGGTGGGTGGACTGCTTGAGCTCAGATGTTCAAGACCAGCATGAGCAAAAGTGAGTCCCCATCTCTACTAAAATAGAAAAACTAAGGCAAGAGGATTGCCCGAGCCCAAGAGTTGGAGGTTGCTATGAACTATGACACCACGGCACTTGGGTGGCGCCTGTGGCTCAAAGGAGTAGGGCACCGGCCCCATATGCCGGAGGTGGTGGGTTCAAACCCAGCCCCAGCCAAAAACTGCAAGACACCACGGCACTTAACCCAGCCAGGGCAGCAGCTTGAGACTCTTGTCTCAAAAGAAAAAAAAAAAAAAAAAGAAGAGAAAAGAAAGTGGAGCATTAAACACTGTTATCACTTTATTTGCTTTGGGGGAAAAACATGAGTTTAGAAGTGAAAGGGACAATATATTTATTTATTTAATTTTTGTTTGAGACATAGTCTCACACTCTGTTGCTCCAGGCTAGAAGTGCCATGGTGTCAGCCTAGCTCACTACAACCTCACACTCTTGGGCTCAAGAGACTTCAAACTCCTTGGCTCAGGCCACTGTCATAATGCCTAATTTTTCTATTCTTTTAGTAGATATGGGGTCTCATTCTTGGTCACGCTGGTCTTTAATGTTTGAGCTCACCCTTGGTAGAGATGTTACAGCTCACAGCAACCTTAGACTCTTGGGCTCAAGTGATTCTTTTGCCTCAGCCTCCCAAGTAGCTGGGACTACAGGCACGTATCACAATGCCCTGCTAGTTTTTCTATTTTAGTACAGACTGGGTCTCCCTCTTGCTCAGGCTGGTCCCTGTTATTTTTCTTTTCTTTTTTTTTTGAGACAGAGCCTCAAGCTGTCCCCCTGGGTAGAGTGCAGTGATGTCACAGCTCACAGCAACCTCCAACTCCTGGGCTCAAGCGAGTCTCCTGCCTCCGCCTCCCAAGTAGCTGGGACCACAGGCGCCCGCCACAATGCCCGGCTATTTTTTGGTTGCAGCCGTCATTGTTGTTTTGGCGGGTCCCGGCTGGGGATTCGAACCCGCCACCTTAGGTGTACGTGGCTGGCGCCTTAGCCGGTTGAGCTATAGGCGCCGAGCGGTTATTTTTCTTAAACGAGGTAATACTCATAATACTTAGAATGACAGTCTCAGCAGTCCTTAGAAAACATAATTCCATTTATAGGCTAGCTAGAGTATGAATTAATTTTACAATAAATAATTATGTCATTTAATGGCAATGTCTTTTGGCCAAAAATATGTTTCAATTTGAGCTACCTGAGCCCAACAATCACATCGGATATGCTTAATACAAAAATCACAAAGCAAGGATTTATATTGATGAAAATACAAAATAATAATGACTGTCTCTCTCTCATATAAAATAGAGTGGTACTCTTCAGAAATAAACTTTAATATTTCACAATATAAATAAATGGTACTGTAAACATACATATATAAAGAATTAATTTCATTGAATGAAATTCAGTAGAATACATGAAATAACTACTTACTTTTGGCAACAGAATTTTGAAGACCTGTAGGTGACATATACATTTGTTTGTTGAAAGAGGAAGTCCCCTGTTCGATTTTTTCAGTAGATACATATCTCTTATCACCTGGGAAAGACACAATATATACTCTAATTATATTTTTAGAAGAAAGCATGGGGTGGCTCACGCCTGTAATCCTAGCATTCTGGCAAGCTGAGGCAGGCAGATTGCCTGAGCTCATGAGTTTGAGACAAGCCTGAGCTAGAGCAAGACCCTGTCTCTAAAAATAGCTAGGTGTTGTGGTCAGTGCCTGTAGTCCTGGCTACTTGGGAGGCTGAGGCAAGAGAATCACTTGAGCCCAGGAGTTTGAGGTTGCTGTGAGCTATGACACCACAGCACTCTACTAGGGGCAACAAAGTTGAGACTCTGTCTCAAAAAAAAAAAAAAAAAAAGAAAAAAAAGAAAGCATCATTAGCGGAATCATTTTTGAGTTTTCATGATATAGTCATATAAAGCACTGACTTGTAGTAACCAGGTACATCATGGTCATTGTCATTACTTCTTTACAAACTATATAAATTTATGTTTTCTAAAATTATGCAGAATTATGTCCACATATAGGAAAACTTATAGTGTATCAAGAGTAAACAAGGCAGACTTAACGTTTATTTTTGAAAATATACATTAAGATAAGCTATGCCAAACTTAGCAATTATTCATCATTTTTCAGTTCATGCTAAGTTTAAATAAGAGTTTGGGTATACTGAATTGCATAAAGTCTATTATAAAATTGTATCTGTTTTTTTTTGCAATGATATGACACAAATAAATTTACTAAGTATAGCATTTTCATTTATGATACAAAGATTATAATCTTGTTGTAAATGTAATCTTCTACTAATATACAGTATTTAAGCATGAACATTATTGAACTTAAAATTTAACAGCTACGTTAATTACCAGATTTGCTCTCAGAACGTGCCACTGGAGTGCCTTCCCATGACCATCGTTTTTGCCGAAGTTCAACACGATTGCTCCGTTCCAAAGTACGATAAAGAACAGCTTTATATTTTTCCTATTTAAAATAAGTGCCAACACATTTTTACATATTCATTGTATTGGTTAGTATAATTTTGATCTGTGGTCTATAAAATAACTCCATCACAAAATTACTGTATCAAGAAAATGTTTAAAGTAATTAGAGACATGTCTCGGGGATTGAGCAGTACCAGTGCTTTTCCTAAATAACTTGCTTTTTGTCTTATGGACTCTGCACTGAGGCATCAACCATGCCATCTTCTTTGCTTGTATCATTAGGAAATTTAGAGCCAAATTTGTAGCCTATCTCTAGCAACTGCAGAGAGACTGAGTTGTGGACTTTCTTATACACTAATCAAATCTTATGCTTTATTATTTGCTTACCTTAATTTCCCCTCAGCTGGATTCCCTCAACCTTTTATTTTATCATCTGGTATGGTATGTATTTTTTAAAGTCACCTTAAACTCTTTGTAAAATGAGGCAGGAAAAAAAATCAACCAGTATATAAGTAAAATCTCTGCCAGAGTAATCCATTATACTCACATTTGTAACAGCTTAAATTCTCGTGTTAATAAAGTTTCAAAAAAAAATTACCAACATCTTTGTCTTGCCCTCAACTTCAATTTAAACTGCTCAGGACAACAGCTATATCAACTAAATACCACACTGTGGCAAAACAACTCCACTTTTAGAAATATGTTCCAGAAATGAGTTCTTTTCTCAGATATTTCTCATCCTGTATTATAACCTACCATGGACTATACTCAAGTAATCAAATCAACTTCAGGGTCTGAGGTTTTCTATTCTTTCCTAACAACTGTTTCATAGCAACATCATCCTTACCATGTCCCCACCATTTCTACCAGGACAAAGAAAAACATACTAGGAAAACAGAGCAGTCCATATCCTGAGGATAAAGGCAACTGTAATTCTTAAAATAAAATATATGTAATAGCAATGTTTGAAAATTATATTTTCTTAAAGTATATAAACTTCTCTGGAAGGCTGAGGTGAATAGATTGCTTGAGCTCAGGAGTTCAAGACCAGCCTGAGCAAAAGCAAGACCCCCATCTCTACTAACAACAGAAAAACTAGCTGGGAATTGTGGTAGGCACCTATACGCCTACCTACTTGGGAGGCTGAGGCAAGAAGATCTCTTAAAGCCAGAGTTTGAGGTTGCTGTGAGCTATGATGCCATAGTACTCCTCTGAGGGCAACAAAATGAGACTCTGTCTCCAAAAAAAAAAGGATATAAACCCTATAATTACAATTGACTAACAATGGAGATTAATTTTTTGCATTATTCAAATTTTTTTTTAGATGTCATCGGTTTATTATAAAAGACATAGAAATTATTTTTCTTAAAATATTTCTGATTCATTAAGAGTTCTATCCCACTGATTCTGAATGTACTGCCCCTCTGTGCTGTCTTTCAGGTTCCTTCTTGCATCTGTGACCACCCAGAGCTCACATGAGAGTTCCCATCCTATCTTACATATATCTCCTCCACGTGCCTCCCTCCTCAGCTCTGAGTTTTTTTGCTGTTCTCCAGAATTTCTCTCTTTCTCTCTCTTATAGTGAACCATGTCCCTGGCTCTGACTGGACTCTACCACACTATCTAGCTCTTTGGGGCTATTTCTCTTTTGCCCCTTCTTCTGCTATGCTCTGGCTCCCTTTCTGTCTGCAGTGTCCTTTTGTTGCATTCTCTCTCTCTCTCTCTCTTTTTTTTTAATTGAGAGACTGTTTTTAATTGTGAGACTCTGTCTCACTTTGTAACCCTCAGTAGAGTGCCCTAGCATCACAGTTCACAGCAATTTTAAACTCTTAGGCTCAAGTGATTCTCTTGCCTCAGCCTCCCAAGTAGATAGGACTATAGGTGCCCACCAGAATACCCAGCTATTTTTAGAGATGAGGTCTCACTCTGGTTCAGGCTGGTCTCGAATTCCTAAGCTCAGGCAATCCACCCGCCTTGGCCTCCTAGAGTGCTAGGATTATAGGCATGAGCCACTGTGTCCAGCCTCTCTTCTCCTCTCTTAGCTTCCTCTTTCTCTACAGTGGTTTTTTATTTATTTTTTCTTAGTCCCTAGGACTCTCTCTCCTACAGGGACACGCCCTCACTCTGCACAAAGCTTTCTATTTTACCTTGCTTGTTTCTCAAACTGTCTTTACTTAGTATATATTCTTGCTCTGATCTTTACTTCTTAACCCCAGATAAGTAAAATAAGGAGATGATTTGCAGAGCACAATGAAGAGTAACAGAAATTCTGAATGAGATTCTACCTAATAGCAGAACATGAAACATGGAAAGCATAAACAATCAGAGAAAAAGGGTCAATGTAGCAGGCCGTACAGCCTATGGCTAGGAGTGAGAGTTATAAGAAACACGTGTAGCTCAATGGAACACCTTAGAGAAATGGGCATGGAAAGGGATTTAGTTCTCCTAACAAGCATGAGAGAGTTCGCAAGATGAGAGAGCATTAGTGAATTGGCAGTCTCTACACCTGTGGTGTTGAGAGGCACGAGATCAGTCTTATATTAGGCTGGAGGAAAAGGCAGTTGGGAGCGGGTGTGTTCTATCATGGACCTGCTCGCTCTGTCTGTCTTCTCTCCTGTCTGCAGAATACCAGCATGGTGTCTCTCTGCTAAAGCTTACTAAGCTGTGCTAAAGACTAAGATCCGGCTCGGCGCCTATAGCTCAACCGGCTAAGGCGCCAGCCACGTACACCTAAGGTGGCAGGTTCGAATCCCCAGCCCGGACCCGC